CGGTGGCTGCGTGGGGTGGTGGAGAAGGGGGACGGAGGGGATGGTGTGGATAGAATGGGGCAGTGGAGTGCCACCACAATGGCAGGGATGGAAGAGATGGAGCAGGGGGGCAAGACCAGCATCGCTGGCCTTGCTTTTGCCCCCCAGCCCTGCTCTTTGGAGGTGGTGGCAGTGTGGGGTGCTGGCGGAGGGGGACAGAGGGGACAGAGAGGCAATCTTCCCCCCTCCCCACCCCCGGCTCCTGGGAGGCGGCGGCGGTGCGGGGTGGTGGGTGGCAGTGCCCCATCCCCACCCGCCCCCCTCCCCATCATTCTTAATGGGCAATTTGCTAGTATACTATAAAAACACACATTGTAATGCAATCATTTATTATAAAAGCATTGCTGAGGATCTTCTTTAGAGAATTATTGCGCACAAAAAAGCACCAAAAAAGCTATATTGATGCCCAAGGAAGGCAAATTACTGCTCTGAACCTTGCAAAATCCTCTCTCTATATATAAACATGGATATGGCTACATATTACTACACTGACACTATACACACAGAATTTTCTAGACCGTTTGGAACCTTTCTCCAGTTTGATCATGTAAGCAGTAGGAATGATGGGAAGTAGATTTTTTCTGTAAGTGTCTTCAGGCACACTACTGCATTTGAAGTTGCAAGGGGCTTCCTAGTCTAAATTCATTTTGAAGACACTGGATCCCAGACTACATAATCAGTTAGGGGAAAAACTCATTTTTGTATCTTACATAGAAAACACATGCCCTTTTTCCTTCATTGCCAATGATTCCCTCCTATTATACTTGTTAAATAAATGTCATATGGTTCACCTGTTAATCTGCTATTTTGTTTCAATAAGCAATTCTCTTTTTCAAATTTTAGTGACTACAAGAAACATGTGCCAAGCACATGTATTAACACTTTGTACATGCTGAGTACTTTAAACAGCTGGTACTCTTCGTATTATCATAAATAAATTGTTCTATATTCCTATAGGGAAATTAAAAAAAGATAACAATGGTAGAATATCAAGGCTGTAGAAGTAAATCTTCAATGCACAGGAAGTCACAAAGTTAAAGTCGGAAAGGGCAGGGGGAGGGGCTGGCCAGGGCAGGGGA